GGCTGCGTGCGGCCCGGACTGCGAACGCAGCATGGCCTGGGCAGGGGGCGGCAAGGTAGGTAACAGCTCGGTCTCGCGAAAGTGGGTAGAGCAGGCGCGGGAACCGTGATGCGCTTTCATTTAAAATCCTAGCAGCTTACATTTTCCCTCGCTCAGAAGCGGGCCTGCTGAACTTGGGAACTGTACGCTCAACATGGTTGTCTGAGAGGTTTGCCTCTCAAGATGCCCAGCATGAGAAACAAAAAGCATACCGGACAAGCGCTGTGAACCTAGCGCTTTCTAGCATTCGCACCCATGGTCCTCCGGAACCTAACATTGTCTACTCGTAGCATTGTCTAGCATCATCTAGCATTGACTAGTATTTTCTAGCATGGTCTAGCGCTGTCTAGCACCGCCTAGTATTTCGTAGCATTCGGGTCCTCCGGGACCCGGCCGGAATGTAACACATTCTAGCACTCCCTAGCATTTTGTAACATACAGTTTAGCATTGTGGAGATGTATAGCGCCAGAAGAGTTTCTTAATGACCTTCATCCCAGGACCTCTCGTGCAGTAAGTCCTGGAGAATGTGTGCCCGCCTGTGCCCATGTTGCTGCTGGCTCGATGAGCCGTTGCAACATAGCGCTTCACGGTAACCCACGGGAACACAGAAATATATTGAAATGCCTTATTACCGAGTTCGTTAATGTTGGCATGCCCAAGCAAGCTTTGCTTACGAGCATGCGGGCACGAATGGCTCCTGCGTCCTCCTTTGTCGTTGCGCTTGTAGTCCATGCGCCGTGTGCGGACAAGCACGTCAATGCCTCACAGGCCAAAAAGTCGCCGGCAGCTTTGGGTTGCTACTCTGTGCTCGCATTGTCATAATGGCTCCCTGGTGCGTCATGGATGTGAGGAAATAGCAGCAAACCAGTTCCAGGCAAATCGCACAGTCGAATGAATTATGCTGTTGCTGTGGTCCGTCCGGCCCAATCGAGATAACTCCTGGCCATCTCCTGGGCCCACCTGCCACTTCGCCACGGGGGCCCGGGCATGCGCAGCGCCGCGGCGCATGCCCCAGCAACCTGTTTCGCCTCTTTGGCCGATGCGCTTCGCGCCGTCAGGGCGCGCGAAACCTCGTCCTGCGACCATATGTTGCAACAACTCGCAGATCCTGCGTGCAAGCTCCATTGCTTCGCGTCGCTCCGAGGGGCTGCCGTTGCCCTGTGCAATCACGGGCTGACGTGCCGCCATGGGGTGAGCTGCTCGCGGAACGTGAGTTTTCGCCTCCGTTTTGGGAGCATCGAGGCTCTCGGGTATGCGGGGAGACCATCTTATTATAAGGTCTTGATCCATGTCCCGGCCATGGAACTCCGAACCCAAGCCGCCGGGATGTCGGCTCGATTTCCCGAAACCATACCGCGAACCGAGTGTTTGCGGGAACAGGAACAGGATGTCCGCAGCGAGAACCCGTAACGGGGCACCGATCCTGCAACAGCAAGCTTCAGTCCCTGTAAGACCCCGCAGGCCGCCTCTCGTAACAGGAACCAATGCGGGGCTCCAAGAATGAGTAGTTTCACATCAACCTGCTGTCGTGGCTCGCCAACTCAGGGACAGTTGGCTTCAAAACCTCATGTCCTGCAGCATTACAAATTGACTTCACATGTCCTCAGCAACCTTTGTCCTGAGTTTCCAACGGCCACAGCATCGGTGTTGCCATTGGTGCCCTCCCTGCCTTGCCCCAAAGTAGCAGTGCATGTGTTTGTTGCGGGTGAAGCCCGTTCTCGAATGGAAAATGCCTGAGCCCTTGAACTTGACCCCGCAGCCCGTCAACCCCAAACCCCTATAGCACTAAACCCCCGAACCCCTAAAGCTCTTAAATGTCTCCACGACCGCGGTGCGCACGCTCGCACCGTCGAGGAGGCTTGTCCACACCTTTACGCCCTTGGCAATCGTGCTGGCTTGGAGGCATTGGTGCATGCTGCGCAGGGGGCAAGGTGCGCGCATGATCCGAATCTTCGTGTGGTTTCCTTGGACCGCCACTTACGACGGCATCAACCGCCAGTCGATTCTTCAGGAACTCCGGTCCCTCCCTGCTGCTGCCGCGTTGCTCCCGTTTGCTAGGCTCCGTCCTCTTCCGTGTGGCATCAAGGCGCCGACATTTGCGCCAAGCCGAAGGCGTGGAACCAGGGGATCCTTTATGCCCAGCTCTGTTCTGTTTGGGTTTGCAGCCTGCCCTCGCTGACCTTCAGCGTGAGTTCCGCGAGGACCTTCGCGAACGCATATGAACGCATTTTAGCCTACTTCGATGATGTCACCATCCTTACAGCCCCCAAGCGTGTGTTGCATTTTGTCCGTCGTTTCGAGCACTACCTTGCTCGTCACACTCGCCTGCGCCTTAATGTTGGCAAGACCGCCATCTGGAATGGCGCTGGCCTTGCCCCGGGGGGCTTGGGGGAGCTCTCGTCGGCTACCCGTGTATGGTTCGGGGACCCTGCCCTGGAGCCTTCATCACGTGGCATACTCCTGCTCGGTACTCCTTTCGGTGAGCCGCAGTTCCTCGCCAAACACGTGCAGACTCTGTCCGACCGGCACGAGGCCCTCCTCTTGTCGTTGCGCGGACTTGGTGACACACAGGTCTCTTGGCTGCTGCTTCTGTACACAGCTGCCCCCCGAGCACAGTTTGCCTGGCGCACTCTTCCACGTCGCTGGGCACGGGACTTTGCACACGCATACGATGCTGGCGTGCTCACAGCGTTGAGCGTGTTGTTGCTTGCGGAGGGGCCGTCCCCAATCCGCCGGCAGCTGCCCGTGTTGCACAACT